ATGCCATATGTGCGTGTGCACATGCAAGTGCCGCAGCGATATGTAGTTGGCCTGCATGTAGATGTACTTCTTCCTTATTTGCTTGCATGCATGCAGATTTGCTTCCATGGAGATCTCTGCTGCACGTTGTGCTCGTGTGGATGCGGCCCGAAGTACAAACGCCACGTAGTCGCGTCGCCGAGTCCTCGGCGGGTCGGCGAAGTCGGAGAAGACGCCGATGACGAGGTTGCGTGCATGCGGCTGTAGGCCATGCGTCTTGATTGGATCTCGGCGACTAGACACCTATGCACGTTGTGGCCATGAGCACGACCCGGTATGTAATCACGATGAAACTCCAGCGTAGCATCTTGAGATAGGATGGCGCAGGAGCTTGCTTGTGTAGGAGCACCTTCCCAACGATAGCCTGTACAAGCAGTTGGATGCACGAGGCCATCGTCGTGAATGTGCTGATGATGTTGAGATCCATCTGGTTCGCCATGGGATCAAGCGCACACCCCTACCTGGCGCGCCAACTGTCGATAGAATATCGTCGGCAGTCCACCGAGGAGTATCCCGCGATGGTAGATTTGTCGGTGGGGGTGCGCGTAATCAGGAACCAGATGGTGACACAAGGCGTAGAGACAGCGATTTAGACAAGTTCGGGCCGTCTGATCGACGTAATACCCTACGTCATGTGTCTTTGGTGTATTGTATTGAGATGCAGTAGATAGATCTTGTCCGCTAGGGGACCCCTACCTCTCCTTATATACTCTAGAGGGGTAGGGTTACAAGGTAAGTATCCTATTTGGTACTATACAATGTCTTGCGGTGCACGCCGAGCAGTACCGTGCACGCCTTGATCTTGTGGGTTGGGCCACCTCTGATGGTGTGGCCCATGTCTTGTCTTGAGGATACCGGGGGCCATACCCCCACAAGTACTTTCAGTCATGGCTTATCAGCCAAGCCAACAGGACAATAAATAGCCTCACATGATACGCACGTAATCTTCAAATATGTGTACGAGACTGGTTCTTAATCGAGAGATAGTCTTTCTCTTTCTTTTATTAAAATATAAAATAATATGTTTAGAGATAGCTCATAAGTTATTATTGGAGCCGCCCTAACAGAGTTGAGCTATCCAGCACGCTACACGTTGACCGTTAGGGTGACGTGCGACAACAAAACCGTGGCTGGGCATTTGTGATGCACATTTTTTGTCATTACTTTTTCCTTCTCTTAATTGTTGTGTGATGATGTGAATTTGTTTTAGGCCCCGTTTGACCAGGTTTCTTCTGACTGTGGCTCCACTCTATAACCAAAGGAGCCCTAGTTGGAGCCAGAGGAGTCACAAATCATGGCTTCTCCTGGTTCCACATTTATTTTGTCAGGAGAGAGAAAATGGCTCTTGTGAACTGTGTTGCTACATTGCGAGGTGCAGGAGCCAGAGTCAACACATCCTCCATCAATCCATACTCCTGCATGGGCTAAAATCTTAGAAATATAGCATTTTATGATGTCATGAACCTAAAGTTTGATCTTATCTGTTGCTGTAGATTTTTTATTTTTAAAATTAACAAAACTCTTACGTTTATTGTATTTTTTATTAACTATTCTTCATATATCTTCTAAGGGTATGTGTGCTTGAACTTATCAGTCGGCTTATCAGCTGGAATCTATAGTATTTTTCTCTCACAACAAATCAGCTTCAGCCGACTTATGAGCGGCTTTAATACCAGCCGAACAGGCCCGTGAGGGCTCACTTCTCTCTCGCGCTGCCTACCCACAACCACACCTCTGGGGCCTGTTCTGCTTCATGTGGTTCTTGGCGCAAGCATCCCTCCGCCTGTTCACTTGCTGCCCCAGTGACCCATGATCTCCTCTTAACACAAGCATGTCGTAAATGCATCTACCACTGACTGAGGCATATCCCGACGAGTACACATTCCTGTAAAAAACCGTTTTGGACTTTTGGTGCTACCGCTCAGCTTGCCACAAAAAAAAAATCCAAGCTACCACCAGATCATTTTCTTTTCATCGCTACCGATGGCAGGTCATGCGAGCTTCCTTCGTTTCTGCAGTACCTATGAAAGGTCCTGCGAGCGAGATGAAGCAGAGGGATGGTGGTGTGGTTCCAACAGAAATGCAGATGAAGTTGGACATGGAACGCTACAAATTGAATAGAAAAGCTGGTCGATAATAAAGGGGCGGCGGCACTACAGATGCGAGGTTCGTGACAGAAGCTGCGATTTGATCGGGATTCAAAGCTGTCGCCGGCGAGTCGGCGGGTGGTGGAAGGGCAGCTCAGCTCGGGCAGTTTGTTGGCAGCGGGGATTCGCTAAATTTCATATGCCTAAATTTTAGTTTTCGTTTAGACGACGATTATTGCATATATTTTGTACTGAAATTGTGGTTTTAGTTCGTTACAATTTCTGTAGACATAATATGTAATTTTTGGTTTCGAGAATAAAAACCCGTTAGACAAAACTCAAACATGACAAAATCTGATATGTGTTGGCACAAAGATAATTTAATAATTTATAATTAATTCTATAGTCAGAAAAATACAAAAATTTGATATGTTATGACAGAGACAAATAAGAAATCATAAAAGTGACAATTTATTTGTGCTATTTGGTAGTACAAGAGTGTTGCATAAAATCATCTTAAAATTCAAGCACCTGAAATATAAAAGAAGTGATAAAATATATCATCAATATTTGTATCTTCTATAATATTCTACAACTAATCTTTTTTTTGCGAGAATATTCTACAACTAATCTAATCATAATAAATACCAGTTTTTTATTAATTTGGTCAAATTTAAAAATGTCTGTGGCTTTTAAAAATATGAGATGTGTAATTATTTGGGACAGAGGAAGTTCCACGGTTGATCGAAAAACACATATTAGATGGAAGGCATGGGTTTAGTAGCGGGATGGTGGCCTGCCCATCGCTAGAAGAACCGGGTCTGTTGGTTGCTTCATGGTGTAGAATAACGGAGCGTAGAATAGCATATATGTATATGGAATGGATGAGAAGTAATCAGGTTCCGATGTATTTGCACGTTGTAGAAAAGAAGGGTCTAGAGTTTCTATCGCGGTACATAAATGTTGCTGTAGTGGGTGGTGAATGAGTTGTGAAGATCTACACTCGTGGTTTTACGATTGCGGGAAGTGTTTTACAATTGCAGCTATATGACCCTAGTGAATAGTAAATTTAAGGTATGGGAAAATTGCATCCGCCACACAACAAATTGGTGGGTGGTTGCATATATTAGTCCAACAACTTATAAACTGCTCAATTAAGTGTAACAACTTGGTAATTTGATAAATCTTTGGTTCGTACACTATAATAGTAATGAACTTTGTCACACCAGATATTGAGCAGGGCTCGTGTTCACTTCAGGATGGCCCATGCTCGGCTCGTGTTTCCTCAGAGTGCAATCAGCTCTATCTCTGTACTAGCTAACATGGGCTACTCATGGCCGCCAACCGCATTAAAAGGGACTATATGCACGATTTGTTTGAGGGTGTCGCTCCCTTGCTATTCATGAGCTCCGAGAATCGATCATCATAACTGATTCGTTAACCCCTTAAGATTTGGTTTCTATTTCGGTGTAAGAATACGGCTGTGATACGAGGTATCACTCTGGTTATTGAATTGGGAGTGAATGTATAAACTATCCCTTGTTTGTGTCGCAAACCGGTTGTGACGATCCAAGCTTCACAACTCGTTCGAGAGTAGTTTTCTTATCCTCATGGTTTGGAGGCCACTTTCCTATCTAGTTCCGCAAATTGTATTAGCTAGTTCTCCAAAATGATCAACTTGAGTTTAAAAAATAGTTTAATTTGTTTCACTAGAGAGGGGTTAGCACAAACACTTAGGCTTATCGCTAATTCGCAAATAAACACAAAAAGTAATATCCACTCATAAATCAGCATGCACGTTTCCATAATTGTTTCACATCACATTACTTCAACATACTGGAGTCCCTACCTGCCTATACTCACATCACATGGTGTGGAGCAGCCTCCAACCAATGATGTTCGCCTTGTGGTTATGTCATCTTGCCGAGGTGAGCGGTACTTCTTATCCTAGTTTTCAGAGCTCTCATGTATTGAAACAGTATGGACTTGTTTCATCTCCATGGAACTTGTTTTACTCCCATGAAACTTTGATCTTTTCATCGATATTGTGATATATCAACATATCTGCTAAGTTGTAGCTTATTTAGTATTACTCATAAATCTCTCGTGACACCTCCACTAAGAATGACCTTAGAAGAACCATTGTGCTGTGTCCGAATTTATAGCATTAAACTACCCAGGAAAACCACCCTGCAACTCGCGTTAATTGTTTACCGGGTGAACCCGCACCAACTGGAATTTGAACGCCTCATGTCATGGACGCATGCCTCAGCTTTTTTTTTTTTTTCGAGTCAAACAATGCGCGTCGGATACACGATCAAACACGAGCTAGTACTAGCATTTATCGTCTCAATTATATTTATATTAATTAACACGAGGACGAGAGGGAAATGCGAGGCGTGCAACGCATTCCTTTCACGCTGTCTGCAATCCGTGACGACCCGGAACTGGAGTGACAAGTACGTCGCACGCATAGCCTCTCGATCGATAGTTGATCAGATAGCATGTCAGGTTTTCAGGTTTGGTTGATAAAAAAAAAAGTTTACCAAAGAAACGTACGCGCATGCACTTCCGTAGGCCTGTCGCTTCCGGTCCGGGAAAGCAAGAATGGCCTCTCTTGACAAGAAACCACCTGCACCACACGTAATGGAGTCTAAGAAGATAATGCCCTGCCCTGTCGTTTCGAGCAAACTTGCAGGTTTAATTCTGGCAAATTTTAAAGAGCGCTCAAGAAGAAAGCGTATAAATCTTACCGGCCAAAGTTCTGATCCATCGATGGACGGCAGAGGAAGGTTTCTTCAGTAGCGGAGGGATCTGGCAATAGGATGGATGATGTCTCTAACACTATTGTACGCAGTCGGTTGTGGGATCCACATGTCATCCATGGGACCCTTCCATCAGCTGCGCAGGTGTAAGTACACTTTCCCCTACTTCTCATCCTGGGGGGAAAAAAATGGGTACGGGACTCCGTACGCGGCACCGTGCGGCTACCCAGTGAACCCGCGACACGTTGATCTTCAGTTCCGATTCTGCCGAGCCAATTTTACCGAGCCTGCCACACGTCGTCAACTGAGTGGACAGCTGTAAGGTGCCGCGTACGGGAGTCCCGTACGCAATTTTTTTCCTCCTCATCCTGCCGAAACAAAACACACGGTAGAAGAACGGTGCGCATGCATGCACGTCCGGGGCGTCCGGTTGCCAAGAGCCCAAGACGCGGATCAAGTGCCGTGTGTGTCCACTGATCAGTGGACTCGCACGACACGAGGCACCAAGCAAGCGATCACTCCCGCGAGCCGGCTTGTTTTTCAGCTGGAATAGTGTTTTTCTTTCACGATAATTCACCGTATTTTTCAGCCAGTTTCAGCCAAGACCGAACGGGGCCGTGCACGCCTGATGGCTGATGCTGACGCCCCAACCGTCCGTCCGCCACAGGCCACAGGATCGGGCGCTCGGCGTGCGCGAGGCCGAGGCCGAGGCCGCCGCCGCCCAGGAAATGAACGACGGCCTTTGCCAGTTCCCAGGCAACTTTATTTAGTGCGTCACATAAAGGTCAAGCGCCACCGAATACGACGCAACCGCAACGCCCCGCTGCTTCTTTCTTTGAGGCGCCGATGCGATGCCTACCTTGTGCCCTTGTCGAACCCACGTACACTTGCACTGCACTCCCGCCTGCCTATATAGCCCGCGGTAGCCCGTGCCGTGCGGATTGCGGAGTGGCATTGGGCAGCACGTCCCTGCTCACGGCCACGGCGCGGCACCGGAAGCGAGCGAGCAACCGCCGGATCGGGCGCGGCGCCGCCCCTGCCTCGCGCCTTCGCCGGTGCGCTCACGCAGGTACGCACGGTACGGGTCGAATACTGTTGCGCGTGGGAGTTGAGACGCTGCCTCGTGGACTCGTGGGTCGTGGGTCGGCAAGAGCTCGTCGTAGCACGGACACGGCTTTGACTTCTTGTTGTTGCCGTTGTGTTCCTCTCCCCCGCCGGCTTCTGGAGCGGTGGACGGCCGCTCTGCTGCTCTGCTCCTTCAAGCCCCCGGCCGGCGCCTATCCCCCTGCCATCTCTCTCCCTCTTTCTCTTCTCGTCTTCCTTCCGTACTTCCGTTGTTCCGTCGGTGTCTCATCCGTCTCGTGCTTGGTGGGCGGCGACGCCCGGCCCGGCGCAGTCGTGAAGCTGACGCAGGGATGGTGAACCTAAGCTCTGGCCCGCCTCTGGGAAGAGAAGCAGCCACTGAAATTTCTTTCACGAACCCTTTTCACCCACTGCGTCTTTACTTTCTTTCTCATTCAGGTGCATGCATCGGCTTACGATATCTGAGTCTGAGATCAGAAAAGAACAAGATAACAAAGGGGAAAGGTGCGACGTGCGAGCAATGGACGCTGACGCCGGGCCAGAGCGATACGGGTAACACCACAAATTTCTCATGGCCAGCATGGTGCTTCTCTCCTCTCTGCAACCGACCTCTCTTTGCGATCATTTTCCTGTCGGAACCAAACACTCCCGGGACGCCAGGTGCGCGCACTACAGGAGGAAATGCAAGATACGGGCGCCGTGCTGCGGCGAGGTATTTGACTGCAGGCACTGCCACAACGAAGCCAAGGTCAGGACATCGCACTGTATCCTCTGAATTTTGCATGTTTAATTTCGAGTTGGTTCGTACGTACAGGATACAATTTTTTGGCCCAGTGGTATTAGCCTGATTTCCTCTTTGCAGGATTCACTTGAGGTCAGCATCCAAGACCGCCACGTGGTTCCCCGTCACGACATCAAGCTGGTCAGTGACACGAGGCGTTCTTTTGCCTGCTGTACAGTCTACATGCATGAAACTGCAAAAGAACCTATATCCACATTCACACAACAAAATAAATAATATGGCATAAGTACCTCAGCACAGGACACTTTGCACGAGATACAGATTAGCTTGCTCTTCAGTCTTCACTTCTTCAGTTCTGCAGATACGGATATCAGTCACTGTCTCTTTCTTTTCTACTTAATTTTCAAATCGTCTGAATCATTATGAGCCTCCTCTGGCAGTGGCAACTGGCAAATAGTGATACTACTTCTACCTTTCTGCATTTGTTTTTCTGAACATCACAGGTTATCTGCTCGCTCTGCGATAAAGAACAGGATGTAAGTTTCCTGATGAAGCAGGGATAGTGTTTTTCAGGTGCTGTTGGCGTTACCTGCACGTCACATGAAAATCAATTCATTTGTTGACAGGTACAACAAGATTGTTCAAATTGTGGAGCATGTCTCGGTAAATACTTCTGCGCGAAATGCAACTTCTTCGATGATGATGTAAGCTCGCTTTTGAAGTAATTAAGCGAAGTAGTCGACGATTTTACACGCTAATTTGGACATAATTTCAGAAGTATTCCATCTTCTGTTTTCTCCGGTTTTGTGTCGTGTTCCCTGACATTTCAGGTATCAAAGAATCAGTTTCACTGTGATGGATGCGGCATATGTAGGCAAGTAGTATTAAATCTTCATTATCCTTCTGTTTTTTTTTTCCTATGAATCCTAAGTTATTATTATTTTTACAGAACTGGTGGTGCAGAGAATTTCTATCACTGTGATAAATGCGGTATGCTTGTTTTGAGCTAATTATTTCGTTCACTTCTTCGAGCAAGAACTAAGTATTTTTTTATTAATTCCTAATTTAATGTCCCTACGAAAGTTTGTACTACCTGTGGGTCTGTTCTATTCTATTACAGGTTGCTGCTATACCTCTCTGTTGAAGGATTCTCACCATTGCGTGGACAGAGCTATGCATCACAACTGCCCCGTATGCATTGAGGTGAGTATTATAAGCTTTTCAAAGAGAGCATGAGCTCTACATCTCTTAGAATTCAGTAGATAGAGTAGATAGATTACTCATCCCCTAACCAACTTCTGCCACACAGTATCTATTCGACTCGACGAAAGCTATCAGTGTGCTCCATTGCGGACACACGATTCACCTGGAATGCCTGTACGAGATGAGAACGCATCAGCAGTAAGCCTCCACTTGACACAGGGACTTTCACCTGATGCGGTTCCTGACCGTGTCCATCCCAGCTAATCCGATGCTAGCCAACCTGCCATTTTCCTCAGGTTCTCATGCCCGGTTTGCCTGAGGTCTGCCTGCAACATGTCCGACATATGGCAAAAGCTCGATCAAGAGGTACAGCTTCCTCTCCCAACAACGCATCTTATCTTGCATCTTCAGGTACCAATCCAAGTAACTGTCCATTCCTTCAGGTTGCAGCGTCCCCGATGCCGGCGATTTATCAGAAGAAGATGGTAAGGGCACGTTCTTTAGAGTAGGCTCTCTGTCCCTCTCCCTTGGGTTCGTCTGTCAAATTGGCAGCCTTCAGCCTTGTGCTAATGTTTTGTTCCTGGGTTCACATTCAGATATGGATCCTTTGCAACGACTGTGGCATGACGTCGAACGTGCACTTCCACATCTTGGCGCACAAGTGCCCTGGATGCAGCTCTTACAACACCCGGCAGACGAGGGGCGATCCAGCTGCATGCTCCAGAGTTTGAGAGCGAGTCAGGACTCAGGAGGGAAGACGGAAGCAAATAAAACGATACTGCACTGCACAGAAACTCGTGTGTGATCGATCAATAAGCTCTAGTCCCGTAGCTTGCAGGGAGGAAAGAGTACCATGGCCGTTGAGTCCATTTATATTGTTAGCAGATATAGATGTATTATATGCTCCGCCATTGCAAAGAAGCATTTGGCGCATCGGACACGCGGTATATTTCCTTTGTTGCTATATATACTTATCCTAGCAACAAGCTCATATGTTGCAACGGAATAATGGGCTAGCTATTTTTATTCGATTTATTTGGGTTTGATCTAACCTTGAATCAAATAAATTCCAATGTCTATAATAAATGCTAGTACAAAAAAAAATCTCATACGAGGAATTGAAAAGAGATTAAATCAATTTAAAAGATAGATATTGTGTGCACCTATTAGATGGTTTGAATTTAAGGGAGATCGAAATGTCGGGAAGAAAATTCACTTGGGTCAACTCCAAAAGTGTACCAACTTTTGAAAACTTAGATAGGGTGCTGGTCAGCACGGAGTGGGAGCAAAAATTCCCCCTAGTCACCATTGATGCACTAAATAGGGAAATCTCTGATCACACTCCCTTGCTTCTTAGCACCGGTGAGAAGGTACACATGGGCAGCCAGCCTGAGTTCAAATTTGAACTTGGCTGGTTCCTCCAAAAAGATTTTTTCGAGACGGTTACGAGGATTTGGAAAAGTGTAGATTATGGATCTACCCCAATAAAGAAATCACATAATAAGATCAGAAGATTAAGGCAGTTTTTTAGAGGCTGGGCAACGAACGTGAATGGAAATTTTAAAGGAGAAAAGGAGGAGTTGTTTTGGCTAGCTGGGGAATTGGATTTAAAAGCAGAATCCTAGATTTTGAGCCAGCAAGGGCTAGACCTGAAGCAAAGTGTGAAGGAAAAAAATCACACAATTGCTTCGGGAAGAAGAAATCAAATGGTTCCAAAGGACAAAAACCAAGGACATGCTAGAAGGGGATAATAATACTAAATATTTCCACATGGTGGCCAATGGAAAAAGAAGAAAAACAAGGATTTTTCAGCTAGAACAAGAAGGGGAAGTGATCAAGGGGCAGAAAAACTTAAAAGTTTTCATAATAAAATATTATAAGGATTTGTTTGGGTCATTACAAAGAAATAACTTCTCTCTTGATGAATCACAAATAAATGATATACCTCATATTAATGAGGAAGAAAATAAGCTGCTAATAAACACGTTTACGGAGAGAGAAGTAAGAGAAGCCATCTTCCAAATGAAACATAATAAGGCACTAGGCCCTGATGGCTTCCCGGTAGAGTTCTACCAAGTGTTTTGGTCTCTCATTAAAGATGACTTAATGGCCATGTTTCGGGAGTTCCATAATGGTATTTTACCTCTTTTCAACCTTAATTTTGGTGCAATCACTCTAATCCCGAAACAAAAAGAAGTCAAACAAATCCAACAGTATAGGCCTATTTGTATGCTCAATGTGAGCTTTAAGATCTTTACTAACGTATTGGCTAATAGGCTAACTGCAGTGGCTGACAAAGTAGTGAGACAGTCGCAAACAACTTTTATGTCAGGAAGAAACATTCTAGAAGGAGTAGTGATACCGCACGAAACAATTCATGAGCTGCACAGGAAGAAGAAGAATGGGGTAATACTAAAATTGGATTTCAAAAAGGCTTATGACAAAGTCAATTGGGCCTTTGTGCAGCAGACTCTCAGGATGAAGGGCTTCTCACCAGTGTGGTATAAATGGATTGAAGAGGTTGTAAGTCGAGGAAGTGTGGGGGTTAAAGTGAATGAGGAAATAGGCCATAACTTTCAGATCAGAAAAGGACTTAGACAGGGGGATCCCCTCTCTCCTATCATTTTTAATTTGGTAGCGGATATGTTGGCCATCCTTATTTCGAGAGCAAAGAATTGTGGACAATCTAGAGGCTTGGTACCTAATCTAGTTGATGACGGTCTATCCATTCTGCACTACGCAGACAACATGATACTGTTCATGGAAGATGACTTAGAGGAGGCTAGAAATCTAAAACTTGTGCTAATAGCTTTTGAAAAATTGTCAGGCTTGAAAATTAATTTTTATAAAAGTAAATTGTTTTGTCTTGGTGCAGCTAAAATCCAAGGTATGGAGTATAGGGAGCTTTTCAGATGTGTAGAGGGAAGCTTCCCCTTCATATACTTAGGAATCCCAATGCACTACCGGAAGCTTTCAAACAAACACTGGAGTTCAATAGAAGAGCGCTTCCAGAAAAAAAAAACTTAGTAGTTAGAAAGGGAACCTTCTTTCCTCGGGAGCAGACTAGTGTTGATCAACTCGGTCCTGTCAAGTCTACCGATGGTCATGATGTCCTTTTTTGCCATCCCTAAAGGGGTGAGGAAAAGATTGGATTATTATCGATCTAGGTTTTTCTGGTAGTGTGATGAACACAAAAGGAAGTACAAGCTGGCAAAATGGAGTATCCTTTGTAAGCCAAGATGCATGGGGGGACTGGAGATCTTAGACCTGGAAATTCAGAATAAGTGTTTACTTAGTAAATGGTTGTTCAAGCTCTTTAATAAAGACGGTTTATGGCAAGATGTACTTAAAAAGAAGTAGTCAAGGACAAATGCTTGTCTCAAATAGAAAAACGCCCTGGAGCTTCACATTTCTGGTCAGGATTGATGGAGGTGAAAGATTTGCTGCTCCAACATGGAATGTTCAAGGTAAACGGTGGTCACCAAACAAGATTTTGGGAGGATGTGTGGATTGATCAACAACCGCTAATGCGGAAGTTCCCAGACCTGTATAGGATAATAAGGAGAAGAGGGGTATCGGTAGCCAGTGTACTAAGCTTGACTCCGCTGAATATTTCGTTTAGGCGAGGAATAGTGGGGGAGAGACTAAAAGAGTGGCTCAAGCTAGTCTCTTTAGTACTACCAGTAAATCTAAACAACGACAAGGATATATTCATTTGGCAAATAAGAAAAAATGGAGTTTTCTCAACATAGTCATTGTATAGAGAAATAATGAAAAGGGAGAAGATTTCAGGGAAAGAAGTGTTCTAGAAAGCAAAATTGCCTCTAAAAATTAAAATTTTCCTTTGGTACTTAAAGAGAGGGGTAATTTTAACAAAAGACAATTTAATTAAGAGAAGATGGAAAGGAGATTCTAAGTGTAGTTTCTGTGGCTTAGAAGAAAATATTCAACACATTTTCTTCGATTGCCGAGTGGTTAGATTTGTTTGGAATGCGTTGTTCATCACCTTTAACATTCAATCACCAAAAAGCATTTCTCACATGTTTGGATCTTGGAGAAGGAGATTTGCTCCAGGGCTAAGAAATCAAATAATAGTGGGGATAGCGGCCATATGTTGGGTCTTATGGTTGAATAGAAATGATGTGGTGTTCCAAAATTTAGTTACTATTTCATACTTGCAGGTAATTTTCAGGTGAACTTTTTGGATCAGACAATGGTCCATGTTGTCTAAAGAGGAAGAGGAAAGAAATATGAAACAAGGCTATAGGCGTTTAGAAGGCGTGGCGCTGCAACTGTTTGGAACCTGTGTGTGGAAGAATCATAAAAGGATAGGACTGTAGAGTCCTTTGTTTGCTCTGCTTGAAGTTGGGAGTTTAGATTTGGTCTGGGATTAGTGGACTTTTTGATAGTTTGGGATCAGTGGACTATCTGATTTATTTGGTTGGCTTCTGATGTAAGATCTCAGGTTATTGTGAGTCTGGACTATCCGGCTAGCGGAAAACTAGCCTAAGTTCCCTTCTTGTACTGTTAAGCTCTAAGCATTCACTTGTGAATGTGAAGGCTGAAATGTTTTGTCCTGTAATCTAAAAATACAAGTTTTAAAAATGTGCAAGGTGAGCTACACACCTGCACACCGGCCAAGACACAAACAGGCTTGATGTACTCGCTCCGTTCCATAAATAATGTCATTCACGCTTCCCAATAAATTAATTTTTTCAACTTTGACCAAATATATAAGAAAATATTAATATTTATGTTACATAATTAGTATCATTAGACGGATCGATGAATATATATTTTCATAATAAACTTATCTGGATATACAAATGTTGCTAATATGCTATTCAAATCGAGTCAAACTTAAGAAAGTACCGACACGAACTCCATAGCAACACTCTTTTTTAGATGGAGGGAGTAGACTTCATCAAATGATAAGTCAGATTGGGTCAAACTGAAGAAAATGTGGGGTCAAAATATTTGGTCTGAGAGCCTTAAAGGTCAGGTCGGGCTTTCTCAGATTTATTTAGATTTTTCCTATTTTGGCTGGTCATTGATTGAAAATCATGAACCGACGAACTAGCTGACCGGGTTGGGTTGGGTAAGCCATGATTAGATCTACTCAGACATCCAAACCATGATATTATATTAGGGATATTATGGGTGTGTTTGGTTTCCTGGCCTGTTTCTAGTCTGGCTAGCTTCTAATCCTGGACAGCCTTAGCTTGGTCCCATCAAGCCAATCGTTGGTTGTTTGGTTGTCTATACTGTCTAAGCCTGCTAGCCCTAGAGTGTGTTTTGTTGCCTGATTTGTTTTTATAAAGTCACCTCTTCTTCTAATTGGTAAGTTTACCCCCTTTGAGGGATTTCGTCGAACAAGTGGTGGACATCCTCGGCGAGCACGACACACGACAGTAGCAGGGCGAGCAGAGCAGCAAGGTGAGCACAACGAGCAGTAGGACGAGGAAGCCGAGCACGAGAACACCACGACGAGCATGGCAGAGCAGGGTGAGCATGGCGACCACGATAGCACTAGGGCGGGCCCGTCTGCCACTCAGCTCGAGTCAAAGAGATCAAAACATAATTGATGAGATCAAAACTAGTCAGTAGTCGAAGAGCACCGCCTACATCCATTTCGATCTCTATGTATACAGTTGGATGAAAGAGTTCGATAACTTCGTGTTGCCAAAAAGACGCACAGCCGAAGCACAGTGAAACAAAAGAGCAAAGTGTT